TTCCCCCTTCCCGGGAGGCCCGGGGGTGCACAGGCAGAAGCCCCCACAGGTCCTCCGTTCCGCGGTCGAGCCTGCCCCCAGTTCTGCCCCAGTCTCCCCTCCCACCCCGGGTCCTGCCATTCTGGAGAAGGATGAAGCTCCAGATCCTCTCTGGGACAGCATGGACCCCAGAACCAGAAAGGCAGGGTTCCTGAGGCCGCCAGGCCCAAAGAGGCGCATCTTATCAGTGTCTGCACAGTCTGGGCCTGCCCCTCCCCTCCCTCCAGCGCCCAAGGCCACAGGAGAGTTGCAGAATTAGCAGCCTGCCTTCTAACAGACCCTGAACAGCCAGAGGACAGGATCCAGCTCTGCTCTCCAAGGCCAGCAGGAGGGACAAGGCACCACCAAGCCATCTCTACAGCTGGCACCTCCCCTGCGACTGGGAAGGGCCTAAGTTTGAGGACACAGTCCCTAAGATGACCCCTAGCAGAGTCTGGGGTCAGGCAGCAGGTGGGAGAGGAAGGGAAGCCACTTCAGTGTGTGGAGTTGCCAGGGGGAGGGAGGCCTGGCATGGGTCTGAGGGGTCCCTGGGAACCCTTGAGCCACTGGCACTGGCAGCTGCATCCCATGGGGCCCAAGAGGAGAGAGCACAGAGCAAGCACTCAGGTCTCAGACCTGGCTGTAGGATATTGGAAAGCAGCTGCAGCTGCTGGTCTCCAGGAACCCAGCCCAGAGCTGGTGTCAGCATGTGGTCCGAAGGGAGAGTGTTCTTGAAGAGCCCAGTCCCTGAGTCCTGGTGGGCCTAGTTGTGGCCCAGTGCAGGCTGCCCAGCTTATGGGGCTGAGCTGTCTGATTGTGCCCCAGCGAAGTCCTCCTGGGCCAACACTGGACATAACCCTCCACCTAACCCTTTCCTCCAGGGAGGGCTAGGGGCAGGCCTCCTGGGGTTAGCAGCAGGAGTTGGGCATGAAGAATCAGGAGCCCTTAAGGAAGATACCTGGTTCCTATATAACTGAGGGTTGCCCTGGTACCTGCCCTTCCTAAATTAGCTCTTGCTTCAATTCCTTGAAACATCTCAGCATCTTTCCAATAAATGCTTGCCCTCTGTGGCCTGCAACCAGAGAAACTATAGCATATCCACTGTAGGAATGCTGCTGCTGCTAAAAGTTACTGATATTGTAGAGCATGGGGGTACTCTCATTCCACAAACACTAACAAAGAACAAAGAGACCTACAGATCTCTGTGAACTTGGCACTAGCATTGAAGTTACATAGTAACTTTATTGCATTACTGATCAACATCCTGCAGAAGCACACACATCTACCAAACTGCCCAGGCCAGTGTGTTCTGGAAGTGGAGAACTCTGCAACCATTCATTCAACAAATGTTAATTCAGCACCAACTCAGAGCCAGGTGTTGTACCAGGAGCTGCAGATACAGCACTAAACCAAACAAACATAATCAGGACCATAATCAGAGCTGGCTTCCCCAAAAGGCACACTAAGGAGGTGTCTAGTTTTCTAGCAGAGAAGAGGCAGCAAAAATCAAACAAAAACAGCAGGAACAGTTTGACATTTGATTTTTTAAAGTAATACTCATGGAAGAAATCAGAACTTTGTGATACTTTCTAACATTCATTTCCTGGTTGCATGTTTCTATTGCTTTGAATCACATGTGGAGGGTGTCACCATAATCTTTAGATGCTTAGGGTTAGTATGGATTTGGATCGAGTCCTGGATAAATGTCATCATTTCTGCCTCTCAAAGACCTGGCAGAAGGAGCTGACATTACAAGAGAGCTCCTCATTGCAGTCAGTAAGCCTGGTGTTAAATACAGCTCTGACCACAAGGTGGCAAAAGAATAAATGAAAATTCCATGTATGTATAATAATATAATATTATAATATATATTTACACACAAAAATACAAAAGTATTGATTTATATCACAATCCTCTCTAAAAATATTTTTTAAATGTTCTTGGGACCAACAGTTACCGTAGTGACTATGTCGCTGGACTCCCATATAGTCGACTGCGGTTCGAGTCCTGGACCCGGCAGCTTAAACACTCAGGCTGGGCGCGTATGCATGCGTGCCCGAGATCCTGAGAGGAGAATGGAGGAGAAGGGACTGCGGTGTGACCATCCACACTGGGGGGTGATATCTCGCTTTCTGTCTCTCTGTCTCTGTCTTTCTGGCGAATTCACACACCCTATAGCAAAAACCTCTCCAAAAAGAAAAAAAAAAGTTCTTCATACATTTATGTTATCTGAAGTTTTGCATCACAAAAGCTGATTGGCTGTAAAAATTAATTCCTGACAAGTGTTAACATTCAAGAAATAAAACTTACATCACTGTTTTACATGATTCTAATGAAACTTAAATACGTTAGTGATTGGAGAACCACAATTATCAGTTTTAAAAATTTATAAACAATCTCCTCTTTGATAGTTGGGAATTAATATATTTTCCCTTTTCTCCCAGAGTTCTTAATTCAGTTCTATTCTTCTAACAGAACTTTGTTTCAGTAATTATATTTTTGTACTTGAAACTATTTTATGGATTAGCCTATCATCTTTCTCAGCAGCAAAAATATGTATATATTTTGTCATTTAAATTCTTTTTAAATGTTCCCATGATAACAAGGCTCTAAGTGTTTAACATTTTTTTCTCATGTGAATTATCAGAGCAGCTGGTATTAGAATACTGTGGACCAACACATTGTAAATATATTAGAAATTTTGATAGGTAACTAAGCATAAAACTAGTTTATTGGAGATATATAGAGCTTTTTGAAAAAAATTAGCAGGTGTATCCATGGATACATAATGCTTATAGAATGAAACAAGATTCAGCATCAATTCTTTTTTTTAATTTATTATTATAATAATCTCGTTTATATTACATTGAATCCCATAAAACTTTACAGTGAATTACATTTCTTTTTCCAGAAGGAATACCATGCCTATCAGTTAATACAAAGACATTAAAATCCCCATCATCATCCAATAGCTTTTCATTATTTTTCTCCAGATTATTATTATTATTTTAAATATTTTTAAACATTCAATCACTATTTATCATTTTGCGTGTAAAAAGATTTTACCCAACATGAAATACTTATATACATCATCATCAACAGGTAATAAATCATATCTGTGTCCCACTAATGTCATGCCTCTCTATTTGTTCTCCTGCTATCCTTCTCCATACTCTTCTCTTCTCCTGCCCCGTTCCACACTGTCTTATCATCACTAACTATTTTCACTGCTTTTATGCCCTCCAATATTTTTATCTCTACCATAAAGTGTGAATAGTTGGTATATATTAACTGGATACATACAGTATCTTTCTTTCATATCCTAGCTTGCTTCACTTAGCAAAAGATCCTCCGTATGTGACCACTTTCTAACAAATGCTAGGGTCTTATTGTTTTTTATGGCTGAGTAGTATTCCATAGAATATATGTGCCACACTTTTTCAATCCACTCATTGGTTTGTGGACATTTGGGTTGGTTCCATGTCTTAGCAATTGTGAATAATGCTGCAATAACCATTGATGCGCAAGTGCTTTTCCGATGGTGCATTATCCTGTCCTTTGGATAGATACCCAGAAATGGGATTGCTGGATCAAATGGTATGGTAGCTCTATTTGTAGATCGTTGAGAAACCTCCATATTGTTCTCCACAGTGACTGAACCAGTTTGCATTCCCACCAATGGTGTAGGAGAGTCACTTTTCACTACATCCCCGCAAACACATATCATTTGTCATATTTTTAATGTTTGCCATTGTGACAGGGGTTAGGTGGTATCTCATTGTGGTTTTAATCTGCATCTCTCTTATGATGTGAGATGTTGAGCATTTCCTCATATGCTTTTTGACTGTTCTTATGTCTTCCTTAGAGATATTTTTGTTCGGCTCATTTTCCCATCTTTTAATTGGGTTCTTTTTTTTTTTTTTTTTTTTTCCCGTAAGGCACTTGAGTTCCCTGTGTTTTCTGGTTATCAGTCCTTTGTC